AGAATGCTTTGTGTGGAAATAAAATGGCTCCGTCCGTTAAAATATATATTTTTTAAAAATACAAAACTAAAACGCCTACAGTATTTTTACAATCTTTATTTTACAGTTAAAATAAATTTTTATCAAATAAAGTTTAATGTAACAACTAATCAGGGATCCCTTTAAAATTTTGCTCTATTGTGGCTACTCTGCTGCTAAAACCTCTGAAAGAATTTGAATGAATCTTTCAGAACGTAATCATTGAGTTTACGTCTATAACAGCTTAACTTTTTTGGAGTCAACACGTTTTAAAATGGTTGCTGCAGCTAATGAATGTTGACCTGCAGAAAATGGTTAGAACTTGGCCAGTTTTGCAGATAGTGAGCTAAAACTCAGTGATCTTGCATGAGATTGTGCTTAATGACATCTGTAAGACTTGAGTAAAAGAAGATCTTAGTCTAAAGCATGAAAGACAGCTGACAACATTCCTTTAAGGACTGCTGGTCTTTAACTCAGTGTTGGTGCTTTAGGTTGATTTTTTTTGTAAAGTGCAACAGTGTGCTCTCAAAGCATTTTTCTTTTGAAAGTAACTCTTATCTTGAAGAGATCCAGGTCCTGCTCTCTCTCCAGTTATCTGTGTCTCTTAGAATTTCTGCTCCCAGCTGTTTGTGAACAACTGGCCTGAGCAGCTGTCTGGAACAGCTGCATGCCCTCTCCTCTTGGCCCCTCTGTCGGCATCTGTGCGAGGGCCGTTTTTCTGCATTGTGCTGTCCTTTTTCTAAGCCAGTCTTTCTGATTCTAAATCTCGATGAGTTTTGATGCTATTTTCACATCAGCACGCTAAACCCTTGGATGTTTTTTTTAAATGTGCGTTTGTCTGTTAAGTTGTGCCAGTCTCACATAACAGAGCTCCTTACTATCTGTGTCAGTGCTTTATTTTGCTTTATTTACTGTTTCCCTGAGTCGAAAATACTGAGTTTTGTATTTTTAGTCAAAATTATTATTTTTTTGTTCAACATCTGTTAAAACTCAACGGTCTTTCCTTATGATTAGTCTTAGGTTTTAGTTGAAATATTTTTAACACATCGTATCGAAATGAGGATTAAGTCAAATTTGGTCAAAATGACCTAATTACATTTCCAGATTCTTGGCTTTAAAAGCAACATTTTGATACCTGGATCATTCTGATATTGAAGAAATTTATAGTTATTTATAGATTAGTACTGATGTTAGAAAACTACACTAGAGTATAGGGTTTCATTATTTTATAATACTTGTATAATGTTTGATCTATTATGTGTTAATTAACATAGAGTAGCTACATGTCCAAATTCATATACAACACATAAGAACTGTTTTTTAAAAACATTATGCTGCGTTCACACCAAACGCGATTTCAGCATCAGGA